TAAAAAAAAAAAAAAAAAAAAAAAATCAACAATTAACTTCTAACAAGGACAACTGAAGAAACAGTTTTCTAAGCAGGGTATTAACAGGAAGCACACACAGAACAGGCGAGTCTGGAAATCTTTACGAGAACTGCTATTGCGTGAGGCAGGAGGAGGCTGGTGGAGTGCAAGATGAGGATGAAACCAGACAGGCTTTATACCCAAGTGCATATACTTTTCTGAGAAGCTTTGGATTTCTCTGCAGGATGAGGTATCTCTATTATGTTTTGCTAAAAGAATAACATCAAACAAACCTCAAAAATGAACTGCTTTAGTGTAAACTTCATGCCGACATGATGACAGCACATGAGAGCCTTGGGTTATGAGCCATGACTCTAACAGCTTTGGACACAGTAACTTGAAGATATAAAAGCTGAGACTTCTGTTTAATACAGACATTCCAATCAATTATTACTTTTATGCTGACGCTACATGAGTTAATCATTCCCATAGCAGTATCTTAGCATAGCTGTCACATTATTTCTGCAACAAAATGAGTATGTTTGACGTGTGTTTAGCAACACTCTCAACACTTATGGTAGATGTGCGGCAATGGAATGAATAGCAGGAAGGGTGTTTTTATGCAAGAGGCTAAAAGTACAATCAGCAGCAAAAATTAGGATGTCTGACAGTGAGTAAAAAGGTTAGAACAAAATCCTACTGCTACAAATGACATCTCCCACAGTTATGTCTCACTCCTGTAAGAAATGGATTCTCACTGGCATTAGCAAGAATCAAGAATACACTCCACGTTTCACATACGTATAGGGACAATTTCGAAACTCCAGCCAGAAGCTGGCTGCAGGCTACATCATCCTTCCTCTCCTTGTGTGGGTGTGAGCTTACAAAAACCAGAAACTACGATGAGGATAGGAAGCAACCCACAGGTGCGAGCAACGAAACTCTTCTGCAGCTTTTTCTTATTCTCCATATAGAAGCAGAAATCAAATGGCCTTGAGTACCCATTTTATTGAGCTTCTGTCTGCTGCAGTTTAGTCCAAAGAACTCGTGCCCATTTTCCGGTGGTGTGTAACTGAAGTTAAAGCTGACTTCCCGTGAATCTAAAGAGCTCACATGAAACAGTTCTTCATTTTAGCTTAATACCTGCAGCAGAGTAATTTCACATACCAAGCATCCACTTCTCTATTACCAAATTTATCTCATTCTTAAGGATGTGACTTTCATTGCCTGCTCTATCATCAGATATTATTAGCTTGACTTTCGTTGCCTGCTCTATCATCAGATATTATTAGCATCACACAAGAAAAGCAACAGCTTAGCACTACACTGAAGCCATTCCCGTGTCAAAAGGATCAGTAAACCACTTCTCATGCCACAAGCCCAACCCTAAAGCAGATCAAGCAGTATTTCGTGCAAATATGATGAAAGTAGAGTGTACCTTGATGAGGAAGCTGCATGAAAACTGCAGATTTAGAGCAAGGCAGAGAAGCTTCACAGACACAGAATGAAAGAAAAAACGTAAGTGAATAATGTCCATGAAAGGAACAGCGAGAAGAAAGAAAGGGGAAAGGAGAAGAGATGATGATAGACAAAACATTTACAAACAATGATCTCGCCCGGTTGTTTCCAGATGCAAGAAAAAAATTTTTCATTTATCTGCAACTTAATATATTTGTAACCATAATAAAAAACTCACTTGGCTGAAACTGTCTCTTTAACTCAGTGTGATGAAGTAACTCAGCACTGCTAAATACTTGATTTTCTTGTGCAGTAGTTCTCGAATCAGAGTAAGTGGATGATAGATCTGCATCCCTTATTAGTCCCATAGTTGTCTTGCTGTTTCAAGAAATCCTGTGGCCCACCTTCATGTTCTATCATTCTTTCACCAATGATTTTTATTGTGGCAGATATTAGGTCTTTCACTGCTTACTCCCTCACTCTTGTCTCTACAGCGTAAATGTGCACAGCAATGACAACGCCATCACACACCTCTAGGCACAGTTAATGAGAATGCAAAATTCACGTATGCAGCTATGGAGCTGTATAAAGTGCCAGAAGACCAATTAAATTTTTAATACAATTAAACAGCTTAAAAAGCAAAGCATGTTTTATGCAAAGTTGCATGTTTTATGCAAAGTTGCACTGGTTAACATGCCAGTTTAAACCAGGGAAATTGTTTGTTGATTAAAGTGGAGCAACGTAATAAACGTGGGATGAAGGAGCAAAATGAAGAGCTCCACGTTGTGACCTGGTCCACAGTTTGAGAAAGCTGGAGATCCCCCAAGCAAACCCCAAGTCTTTGTATTCAAATTGCTAGAATGAAGCTGGAAACACCTATAAAGGCTGATTCTTTACAAAGATGCCTCCAGTCTGGTTACACAAAAATGGAACCATTAGTAATCTTCTGGCCTTCATATCGGTCTTTTAAAATTTAATTTCCAAGCAAACAATGCACAGGGTGTCATAAAGGCATTACTACAGACCCACTAGGATCCTGAATCACGTAACAAGTTCACCACTTCCTAACCCCATTTGTGGAGATGGGCTCTTCACCAGCATTTGATAAAAGCCATCTATTTGGAAGAAATTTTTGAAGAGCTGGATTAATTCCTTCCTCTTAGCTAACCAAGGAAGAAGGAATAGAAAGCGAGGCGTAAGGGAGGCAGACATTTACATAGCAAAATGCTGTTTTCGCTAGTAGAGGGCCTAATCCTGCATCATCACTTCATCCTTGCAAAAAGAACTGCTGGAGCTGCTACCAATTCTACGTTCTAAAGGGAAAGATGCTGCTCATAATGTACTTATTTTCACACTGACAGCAAGGTCTTTTTTTTTTCCCCCTTTAATTTTATCCTTCTCCCTGTTCTAGTATTACAGGTAATTCTTAGCTGAATGTTAAATAAGAAAGTTTCTATCGAACCACTTGCCTTTTCCATAATCTTGGTTGTTATCTGTACCTGCACTCTATTAGGAGTTTTTATACAGAAATATTTCTATACACAGGATAAATTGCGTGACGATACAATACAGTGGCTGCATTATATATTCATAACGTATAATGGACATTGCAAAATGTTAAGTGAAACAGCAGTCTCTCAAACTTCTTCAAACTCAACTTTCACCCACTCTTATTACCCAATTCAAAAGGGATTCCAGGACGGCACCAGCGAGTCCCTTTCAGACCAATGCTCTTTCACTTGTTCTCGGGCAGGAATACAAAACAAGGAAACAACGGCTAAGGAGTGCTATTAATAAAGTAGCAGAGGAAGAGGTAACAACTGTGGAAAATATGCTTCACGCTTTCTCTCCTCACTTGGGATAACATTATTTAATGTAATAAGTCATCTTGAATTGGCAGGAAACTGGAAAGCAAATCCTGTTTTGAGTCTATTTAGACTGACAGGCATCTTAAAATATAATTCTGGAACACAGCATCAGTATATCAAGAAGGGGATCTCCCCAGATTTAAACAATTAAAGTTGGCTTCTCATACAGGAAAAAAGCAAGTTGTAATCACTTTTCACTGCATGAAACAAAAAAAAGAAATCACTATTCCCAAATTACTCAAACACAGAGCACAGTTTTACCTCTGTTGCACCTCTGCAATACTCATCATATTCAACAAAAAACACGCATAGCACGTGAGCAAACTGATAATCTGGAAGACCAGACTTCTTGACTACAGCTAAGTACAACTAAGTAGAGCTTATTTCAGGGCTAGCAGAAACCAGTAAACAACAAGAGTGAAAAAAACCAAAACACCTCTGTAAATACTATACCTAAACCCAAGTAGTTTCTAGCCTTGCATCAAGGTTAGAAACAAAGCAGAAATAAAAGGGTTCTTTGACTTCAGTGTTCGGAACTGCGATAGTTAAATCATCATTTAAGAAATATCACACAGTATAATTTTTATGACAAAGAAAAGTAAAGAATTTCCTCAATATGAGAGACACTAATCCAAAATCACTTCAGGAAGAGTCTTCATGCAGATTTCTTTGACATAAATTCCATTTTCTTCCTGTATTTAATTTCCTCTAGCTTATGCTTCATCTGCTATGCTGAATAATTTTACTCTTTTTTCATTTTTCACCCTGAAAACCTATGCTGTTAAATTTAACCTCTGCATCTCCCTGTAATTCCCCTCTCCCCAAGCCAGAAGGAATTTAGTGTTTTTATCCATCTAATGCCTTTAATGACTGTTCTTTTCTTGAACGCCTTCATTTTATCATCAGCGTGTTTCTGGCAATAAAATAGTCTGAACTGACCCAGTATTCCACACGTATCTACATGAACACTTTTTTCCTTCGAGGGAGAGTACGACCTCCATGTGATGCTGCCTATATGAGCATTGGCCTTAAATCATACAGTCACCTGAAACTGAGTCAGCCCAGACACACTCTTCCACAGCACAGTTCTGGATTATTTTTCCTAATATGTGCTACCTTGTAGTGCCCAGACAGGTATTATTCTCCTTGCAAAATATCATGATTATATATTGATATTTACTAATTTTCAATGCTCCACTGTTACATATATTCCATATTAAGATGCAGCTGTTATTTGTTCTGATGCACTTAATGCTATTTCCTTCATGTATAACGACTCGGAAGACAGCTTTTGTGCTGGACAAAATCCAACATCTGAAATACAGTGTAATAGCTTAGTAAACAGCTTAATATTCATTTGGTTCACGAACGCAATGATGTTTGATGCATAAACATCTCCAAAGAGAAAATGAGACTGAGTGTTTGTCTACAGAAACAGTAAATTCAATACATTTCCCTTACCTAGGTAGTACCAGAACAGCTACTGACCTGGGGAGTGCTGGGAAGTTGCGAGCGAGGTCATGGAATTGGAAAGGTTAAGGTTAGCAGTAATGCTAAGTTGGCTCTGCACTGCGGGAGGATATGGAGATGTGGGTGTCAGGAGAGATTCTTCACTGGTTTCTTCATCAATTCCAGGCAAATACGTGTCAATCAAGGCATCAAGAAACTTCACTATGAGCTCAGCATAGTCTGGGATTTGTGTTTGCTGTGGGTGATGGGGGGGGAAAAAAAAACCAAAACAAACCACGATTGGTTCTTTTCTTCCTACTTTTCTGTCAATAGGAGCTTTGCCCCAGAACTCACTCTAATATCACACTGGTTTTGCCTGAAAATTTTAAAAAGCGTTTGATGTGAGTATCTGTAAAAACTGATTTGTAGTCTTTTCCAGATTAATCTAAATGCACACATCAAAGACCACTTACAGGTGTAATTTCAGTAGTGCGTGGAAGCACAAAGTCAGGAAAGAGGGGCTGTTTCATTCCCGAGGTGACCTGCCACAGCTGCCTGAACCTGACACGTTATTAAAAGCACTGCCTATGCCCCCAAAGCCTAACATCCCAAACACTGCCTGCTCTGCTCATCTAGTTCTTGTTACGATGACTAGAGGGAACAAATAGCAGTGCAGGCTGTCAGTGCTCGATTTATTTGTTCTGTTGTAACATAAAGTTTATCCTTATGGAATTACCATTCTTAGCAAATTAATCCCTTGCACTGTAAGACACACTTAATAAACTAAGACTTTCTGACTGATACCGTATGTCCAAGGCCTCTTAGTGAACCTGGGAGCAGTAAAAAGGTGCATTTACACACCTGACTGCTTTTACTCAACTTCAGTAATTTGACCTTCACGAGTCTATCAAAATATCTGATGCAGGCTCGAAAATTGTTTTAGCTATAGAAGTGAGCCTTATATTACTAACTTGCTCATATAAATTCCATGACTTGTCATTTATCTGCCTCTTTCCTGGAGCACCAATGTGCTTTAGAGAGAAAATGAAGGCAAAACACTCACGAACTTATATATGGTGTACTGTTCTTACCTTAGAAAATGGGCCAGCAAACCTCCATAACCCATTAAATCCAAAACCTACAACAACAAATTGAACGTTACCACTAAAACACAGTTCTCAATTGACAGAAAACAACTAGAAAGTACACATAGCACATCACTTGGATTTACTTAGGCATGGAAATGAAATATTTTGACTGGGCGATGCAACACTAAATGTTGTCCAAACCATGTATAAGGTATTATGGCATTTTAATTTGTATATGAAATACATAAGCTGTAAAAACCTTGAAATCTCAGAACTGTCATGCGAGAAATTCTTGATGGTATTTTAAAAATTAAATTTAGCATGTGAATATGCATCTCATTTTAAAAATTATGTCAACATTTAAGTTTTTCTCAACTGTCATCTGTTTCTTACGGATCTTCCTGGAAAGTTTTGGATTAAGGACCATAAAAAAATATTTAGGTTTTAAGTGTTTAAGTGTGACATGAAAGTGAGCTTGGGCACTGAAAAACAAACATTACTCTATGGAATTTACCAATAATTAAGTCAATCCCTAACTTACAAGGTTAACTTAAAACTCACCATTTATCACCACCATTCATGTTTTGTATTTCTTTAAACTGGTTAGTGGAAACAGAATACTGAGTTTCAACTTCTTTTTACTCACGTAGATGGTGTCATACTTTTAATATTTGGTGCACAACTGCAGCAAGCAGTTTTAATATTCATGTCAGTACAGGTTTTTTTAATATGCGAACTCTTATTTTTACTAGGATATATGAAGTTGGAGAGATGGCACACAAGACTGACACTGTTCTGTTAGGGTTGCAATAATTCTGAAACATTTTCAGTAGTAAATCTAACTTAAAATACAGCAGCTTTAAAAAAAAAAAAAGGAAAAATATTTACTCTGTAGATAAGAAGTTTGGTATTGGGGTGGAGACTCTTCATGGTAGACAACACTCTGAACAATCCCATGAATTGGATTCAACAAATTTGGATCCTGGCACAGCGATAAAAGGGTATTGATCTTGGAATCCAATAAATTATGCCTGAAGAAAAGAGAAGTGGCTTATTTTTTGTTCATTAAATAAAATAAATCTGCAGTTCCCAACTGACTTTAGCAAACAGCAGGTAAGGTGGGATTTTCAAAATCTCAGTCATTTTAGAAGTACAAAACAACTCCTGTATATGTTCAGTGAGTACTCTTATGATGTGTAACACTTTCAAAAAATTGTACTAACAATATAACCCATTAAAGCATCTACCTAGCACTTTAAATTGCAAATATTTTAATTATTTTCAACCAAAAAATTATTCACTGGATTTGTGTACATGTCAGAGCTGGAGTTTCAAAGCAGTTTTTTAAACTCGTGGGGCTACTGTCTCATTTGAGCTCCCTTGCAGAACTCATGCGTGGGTTGGTTTGGTTTTTTTCTTTTAATACAAATGCCAGTTACTTGCAGTTGTGCTTGGAATAGCTCACAGAACTTGGCTGTACTTTGGCCATTACTTTATAAAGCCAGAAAAAGGTAGCACTATTTCTAAATCACACACAGGTCAGTTTTAAAAGTCTACTCATGTTAGTTTCTGATAGTTGGGTTTCCCTTACATATATTGACTCCAGCAAATACTACTTTTAACTGATATCTAAAGAAATACATCCAAAGAGTATCTTGAACTATGCTTTAAACCAGTTTTGATATGCACTTGGGGTACTAATTAAAAAAAACTGAGTCTGACTGGGGTGAAAGTAATACTTAAGAGGCAGTATATGTTGACTTGTATAGAAAGCTACACGAACATATTAAAATGTAATTTGCTTCTCTGCAGTATCAAAGAAGTGATAAAGCCATGCTAAGTCCCTAGACTAGAGTAGCGGCAGCAATGATGCTGAAAGCTTTTGGAAGAAGCTGATGGCTGCACAGACAGGCTCCCTAGCAACAGCGATACAGAGTTCTCCCACGCTCTGCCAACCTGCCTGAAAATCTGACGCTGAAGAGTGCTTCTGAGGACCATCTGTAGCAGTGGCATCTGAGGATGCCTATTCTAGTAAGAACATTATATTCATTTAACACAGGGAAAAAGCATGATTCTCGAATTGCTACGGACATTTGTCTCAACAAGCCGTGGACAGATCGCAGCTAGTAACCTACAAATGAGTAAGCATCTCACACGTGCTTGTCCTGGTCCGGAGACCTTTTAAAGGAAGGGCCAAGTACGCAGTCATCATAAACAGAGCTTTAGGTACTTACACAACAGGAAAGACCTTTGGGAAGACAACACTGGCTTCTGCTAAATACTCATACAGAATCCGCTGGTCAAACTCATCAGTAGTGTACTTCACTAACGTTGCCTGTCATAATGCAAAGGATTAAATCAGCATGCTTCTAATTTAATTTGAGTAATTATAGGCTTTTGCTGTTGTTGTAGTTTAAGGTTTTAAGATTTCTGAATAGCAGAAAACAGCATTACAAAAGATTAACTTATGCCCTCTTTGGACATGGAATCAAGTTATTTTATGTGTATGTGGGAAACAATAAAAACAGTTGGTAATAGCTTCTATTTTGGCAAAAAACATAGCTAGTCAGTTTTTGACAAAAGTGGGCAACTGAGTCTTTCTGAAGTATATCAGGAATAGTAACTGTATTGGTACATCTGAAGAAAGCACTATCATACCGTACACCTATATTACTAGTTAATCATTTTTAAACTGAATTATGCTGGGATTCCAACAATTTTCACTTCTTAACTTTAAGTATAATATATTAATATCCTTTTATTAGATAAAATTAGTTTGTGATAAAAATCTGCCAGGAAAAAGGGACAATTGTTGGACATGTTCTACAAAACAATACAGAATAATGAAAATTCAGTATTTGCTCTCAAAGAACATTTAAATACATTTCTAAAAGTGATTCCTAGAAAGTTTGAAGAACGGCAATAAAAGAATAGACTTGCACATCACTGATTCTGATCTATATGAATTTAGAAACACTGCAAGGAACACATATGCTTCTTTGGAAGATAAAAGAGTATCAGAAAATAACAGACAATACACAGAAAGAGAGCTTACAAGAACTGTAAGCAGCAGTGCCTGAATTTTTGGGTCAGTCAGAACTTCTTCATCTAGGAGGACATTCGACTCAGAAACAGAAACTTTTCGAAGATGTGGGTGTTGCTGCGGTGATATTCTCTGGGTTTCTGCCAGGTAAAAAAGAGCAACTCATCCAAAGCAAAATAAACCCAAACCGAAATAGAATTAGCTCTTGCACAACAAATTCAGTCATACACAAACTTCAGAGTTCACCAGCCTTTTCATAAAGTATAAAAGCAACAACTATGCTGTAATACTAGCAGCGCTAGATCATTACATGGGATGTATTATCAAATGGTAAACAATAACCCCAATTTCCTATTCAGTGAAATACAGGCCCAGGGGTGGTAAGTACCGTACTCAGGGTCAGGCAGCAGACTGACATCAGATACAACAGAAAAACCCTGGTCTTGCATTGCAATTGGGGATGGGGGCACAGGAAGCAGATGTGGGAGAAGATGAAGAGAGGCATTCTAGGCATTAGGTCACGTTCCATCTCCTGTAGTAATTTGCAGCCAGGACTTATTAACGTATAGAAAGCCAAATTTTAGTTATTTCATTTCAGTCCTGTATGCAGTACTTTATAGCTGCCCCTTATTCTGCATCTGCAAACTGAGCAACTCTAACTCAAACCTCAGTTGCCAGTGATGTGGAAGACTGTACTCTCCAGAAGCCACTGTTAAGAAAGATATTTCTCCCTTACCTTGTAGTAACCTCAGCAAATAAACATTGAATTTAGAAATAATCCTTTGTATATATATACAAAGCATTTATAGTTAGCATTATTCTTAAAACGTTAGTCCTGTTTCTCACCCATTTCATAATCATTTTCGGCTACTCTCCTCATTTTGGGAGGCGTTGTGATTCCAGATTCCATGTCTTGCCTTTTAGGAGCCTTTGTGTCCGATATCAAATGGTCAAAACTTTTCCTTGTACCTAAAAACAATTTATCAGGCAATTAAAAACATTAAACCTAAATCCATATTCTAACTATTTCTGATTTTCTGTCCAAGCTACTCTCCTATCTATGACGTATTGATTGGAATCTGGGGACATTTTCACCATTTTCAGGGATGGTAGAGAAAATACGATCACACCATGCCGCTCTCCATCACAGTTTCCAAAATGCTTCACAATACGTATGAGGAAAGCATGCAATTTATTCAAATATGTAAGCTGCGGGCATGCTATGGTTTCCTGGTCAACACATCACATCGAATAAACATGCCAAAATGTGATTACTGAAAAGGAAGCAGTAATAGGATTGTAATGAAAGAAATGCCCCTTTTCTTCCATATATACACCGTATAATGTAAAAGGGTAACCACAAGTTATGCAAAGCAACTCATCTTGTTTCTCTGATATTAAGACTTTGCTTGTAAACACGATGCACTGAGAAGCCATGAATAAAAATCAGATTGCTTCCAAAACATCTAAAATGTTTTGGGACCATCTCTTCTAGCATAAGATAGAGTATTCAATATAGTAGCTAAGCTAAGGTATTCAGCTTCTTGGTTTTGTTGAAAGAGGGCTGGTGGCAGAAAATTGGCACTATGACTCTTTAGTATCTGGAGTATCTTTTTTTCTTCCCCCTTTTTTTTTTTCTTTTTTCTCCACTTCAACATGCACATTTTGAGTGTCACTCTTGCTTCCCCGCCCTTCGTGATCAAAATAAATGAGTTAGTCCTCTTCAACTGTGTTCTCTAATTTGTGTTTTGTAGAAACTGCATTCCCTCTGAATCAGGAATAAGCACTTGAAGTCAGAATAAATACAAGTATAATTTTTCTCCAGTAACACTTCCTGAGGTATTCTATAGACAAATTAGTAAATTAGTTATCTTAATAACCTAGAAGCTTTTTAGTGTTCGCTTGTGAAGGCTGCCCCATATCCAAACTCATGGATTTTCGTGTTCGAGGGCTTATCTGTCCCACTGTCGGGTAACTGGCAGCCAGATGTCTGTCTGACCCCTTTGGTGATGACCATGGTTGATTTTCCTTTAGTGTCCTGAAAGTGCAGAGAAATTAAATTAAGAAAATCTTTAAAACTGTGCACATTTAGGCATAAATTTTTCAACTAGCCAAGCTAACATTTATTAAACCCATCTTTCCTAACAGGTTAATCTCCAAAAAATACATACTAAGAAATAGTACTTTGCTTGCAAAAATGTCTGAGCTAGTGATAACTAACAATCTGATATGAATGTAATGATCAAGAGATAAAAAATAAAGCAATGAAAAGAACACAAGCAAATGAGCCTATGAGGCAAGATGAAAGATATTTAATAATCAGCTACTCCATACTGGATGCTAAAAAGAGAGATATCAAGTAAAGTGCTCCCTATTGAGAGAAACTGGCTCTCCATGTCACTTCTAGGTTGATTTCCTAGCTTATCTCTGTGGCTGCTTATAGACAAGACTATAAGGTGTCAAGATTTTCCAATGACACGAACCAAGTGATTACCTAGTACATGCCTTGAAGCTCTTAAAAGGACAAACTAAACTTCCATCTAAAATATAAATGAAAAATGAGGTGAAATTAGGTCTTGTAGAAAGAGGTTAGCAAAAAGTTTAAGAACCTCCAAAGCAGTTAAGCTCTGAAATAGCTTTACAGATCTCAAAATTAAGTGTATAGGAATTTGATACCCAAATTTCTCTGTGCATGTTGATCACAGTATCACAGTGTAAGTAGCGTATTGGTCTGGAACCAATAACAGAACATTAACTTAGCTTTATGAATGTGGGTTTCAGTTTTCAATATACCACAGGTTACCTTTAGGTAACTTACTAAAGTAAACAGACATTGAAATACGGATAACTTATCTAAAAGTTAGACAACCAACCTATAGCTAGTGTCACTGTGATGTATGGGATATGTATCCATAGGAACATTTTCCATTGAAACATCTGTCAATAAGAGAGACTTCCTATGTTTTAGACTGCAGCGACTTCGAACTTCCTCAGATACTGTCAGCAAAGCTAAAAATTCAAAGAAAGCTAACGTAAGTTTTCCACAGTAGGAATACATTGAAGAATGTAAGCAATATTCCATCAATTTAATTTTTTTACTTAATATAAAGACGACCATTGAGATGTAATTACACATTACCGAAACGTACAGATTAAAAGTAGGTCATTTAAAAAGAATTATATTCCCCATCCAGTTACAGGATTTAAACATTTGTCCTCAACATGGTCACAATTTCTATTTCTAGACCACTAGAAATTTCAATGTTTAAGGCACGCACTTAAACCAAGAAACTTGCAGCCTCCCTGAAGTATTTTCAAAGTTACACAGTAGGTCCTGTGCTGGCAAGCCTTCAGTCCACAAAAAGCTTTAATTGATGTACCCCAGCCTAGCCCAGACTCTTATCCATCTCCACTTACAAGTTTCCTTTATGTTGGTACAATTTTATCAACCTAAAACCATAAGAATTCCCACAATAATCCATTCCTTTTCAGTTAGCACAAATTTAAAAGAATGTTTGTTTGTTTAATTTTACCTGCTAGGTAAGCCACACTCTGGGTGTTCACCTCAAACTTGTCACAGTTCCTATGTTTGTTAACCAGAGCTAGTAGTGTATGTAAAATCCTTACTGTTCTTGCTACAGTGGTAGGTGAAGGATGCCTGTACCCTAAGAAATGAGGTTAAGAAACCAAATACTGTATTTAATTTTAATGCATATTTATGAAGCATTAATATTTTGAGAAGATTTATAAATATTTTTCGGCATGTTCTCAGGAAACTTCACGTAAAGGGTGAGGAAGCACAATGCTAACAGAAATTGCACATTTAAGACTAATTTTTTCTGTCCCTCCCCCCAAAAGTCACATAATTTCAAATGTCTGTGCATATATTATATCTATTATCTCACAAATCAATCTTCTAAAAGAAACAGTGAGCCTGAACACAGGCAAACACACAGAGAAAGACAGCATTCTTGGACAAAGTAGTAAAGAACATGTCTATGGAAAACCCGGCAAAGTCCTTTAGTCAAAGAACATTTAATTCTGTATCTATTCTGTGATCCAAGTTACTTAAAATCCACCACCCATTCTTTCCCCATAATCCCTGGACTTGTTTTTATTTTTGAATTAAGAGTGTTCATCTTAAATGAACAGCAATATGTATTCTTACCTTTCAGGAGGTGTCCCACTAGTGCGAAGTTAAAGTTGGAGTTGAAATTTAGCCCAACAAAATGATCCATCTGCTTGCAGTGCCATTCGAGTGGCCTCCTGATCTCCATAAACACCTCTTCTGGGCTCTGACCCAGAAAAAATAAAATACAGGAGTACCTCATCACAAGTTACTCATCATATCTCAAGTTGTTTTTTTTTTTTTTAAAGTGACAAAACAGTAATTTTGATAGTTTACGTGACAATAGCGCAAACACTCTTGATTAGAACACATCTATACATTTCTGTTCCAGTTTAGAACAGAATAGCAAGAGCTTCATCTCTACGTCTTAGTTTTACTGTTGATATAACACAAGTGAAACAATCTCTAATGCAAATTTCAGTTTTAGTTGCTTAACTACTGTCCATGAGGACACAGAATTTTTTTTTTCTTTTTTTAACAGATCTAACCGCTTACATAAACGAAGGGTTAGTCACAGCTGACTGCTAGCAGCTTACCTTATCATTGAATACTCGAAGGCTATCCAAGGTATGCAGATTCTGTTCAAGTAGTGCTGTACCTGCTGAGTACAAGTTTACTTCGTCTAGCTGCAGTACTGCCATAGCTACCCAAAAGAGGGCCTTGTGCATAGGAGAGTCCTAGAAGGAAAAAGAAAAAGCCACGATTTCACTTTCAAGTCAGTTCCTGTAAGTCAAAGACAAGTAAGACTGACACGTGGTTTTGTATATGCGTTACTATCCTTCCTGTAGCAGGTTCTGTCTTCAACCATGTCCATTCCGTCAATGCAGATGTACATGTGAACCTGTCGTCTTAATGCACTTAACGGGTGAACAGTAGAAAGCAAATGAATTTCAAGCCTTTCACCTCCCCTAAAGCCGTTCCTTCTCTCTTATATTCCTTCCCTTGCTCACAAAGTGTCAGACGCATATTGCCCTACACCAGAGTGAACAGAAATGTGTCTTCTGTTATCAATTTGAATGCACATGTTGAAAATGGATTGCAATTCTGCACAGATAACTGGCCAGGCAATTTCTTCTCCAAATCAAAAAAGCATGCAGGAAGAATTGGCATTCAACAGATTCTGGGTCTCTTAAGCAGCAGATTTTTCAAGGAACAAGTTTTATTTACTAACAGTAAATATATGGGGCTCTTCATTAACGGCATACCCATTGGTATGCTGATCAAATAATGAACATGAAAGTAATGTATGGATGGCTACCTTAATACCAAACCAGGTAAGACAAACATTTATTACAAGCCATGATCTGAAAAGCATGTATTAACAATCAAACATCTGAAAGCCAAGACTGAAAGTCTTTTGGAAAGCATTAAGACAGCCCGTGGTACGGTCATTGCCTATATTGCTGTGGCCCAGTTTGATGAAGCAGAACAGTACATTCTAAAGCATTTTTAAAGCCTTTGCACAGGTCCCACATACAAACACCGGTGACGTATTTCCCATATGTAGTACTTTCGAGCATGAGTCATAGCAGCGAAGTGTGAACTTCAGATACCACAACACTTACTTATATTTTTGAGATTATACCCATAATTATAATTTTTATTTACAAAATATGTTCTCTGTTTACTCTAAAAATCCAGTTGTTTACCTTATTAAGAAGAGGCTGCAGCTTGGTGAGTGCTATAACTGTAGCTTCTATTAGAACTTGGCTATTGTAATTATCAGGGCCTTTTAAACAGCTCTCAAGTCCCTTTTTGTAGGAAAAAAGAGTAATTAAAACACAACCATAATTAGATTTTGCTTTGTAAAAAGAAGATCAAAACTCTAAACAAGAATTGTTGCTCTCAACTAGTTTACAAAGCTTGAGCTCATTTTAAACCAATTCTCAAGGACTTTGACAAATGGAGATTTACACAGAAGTGATACATGTATTGCTGAAAGCAATTGCACAATGTGTATTAAAAAAAGTAAGCGTGCAGGACAGGGTGCAAGAGTTAGAGAATAGCTCTTTTACAATCTGGATGCTGTTCAGTTAAAGTTTATGTCCATAAAACTCTAATAAAATGCTTAAAGGAAACATATTTAGCACACTGTTTACTTGCTACAGAACACAACCTTCTTTAGAAAATATGGAACATCATTACCAAGCCAGGCAGTCGGTTTCAAAATTTTCATGTGCAAATGCCCTGCTCTTTATTGTATTTACTTACAACACGTTAGATTATTAACGTCCTTTAAAAAACAGTTGTGAATCATGTGCATGCAGCTAAATGCCTTAACAGAAAATTTTGCTTTTATTTAAATACTGTCTTCTGGATCAATCTCAGTGTCTCAAATTTTAAACTCAATATTGAAAACTACTGTTACTCTAGAAGTCGCAACACTGATGAAACTTATTGCCACCAAATCGATTTAAGGTATATGGGTCTATTACCTTGCTAAGAATTCGGATTATTTGTTTTATTTGTCCATGAGACACACGTTTACTTATACAGCCAAAGACAACAAGTGCTCTTGGCTGCAGGGATGGGTTATATTGGAATGCAAACCTGTGAAGAAACAGAGTACAGTATATTAAACAAACATACAACAAATAGGCTGTATAACGAGAAGTTGAAAATTCTAAATATACTACACAGGCAGGCAGGGATTATATTTCGAGATCTACAACATACTTTTGAGCTAGTTCAGTCCACTGGTCCAGCCACTTGCATGTTGGAATATCCCTCATACAAGCCTAAAAAGAATTATATTGTTTGAATACATGTAACATTAAGAGAAAGTCTTTTTAAAATTCAGAATGTGCAGGTTTTTTAGTTCTCAGAACTCAGCCACTTAACTATTTATTACCACATCATGGGAGGTACATCTCACTACACCGCTTGCCTGTAGAAAGTGTAAGCAGTGCCATTTTCCCTTGTGGATAATTTGTTTTGTTTTGAACCACATACCTCCATGATCTCCAACAAAGCTTCAGTAACAGTTTCCAACGAAGTCAGTGCGAAAGTCTCCCTTTCATAGGAACCAGGTGAAAACGACCTGTCTCGATAGCTGGATCGGAACGCTATGACCGCGGCTGATTTCACTTTGCTGATTCCAAACAGCAAATAAAATTTGGGCAGAGAGAACTCCGTCAAGCTCAGCCTTAAAACTTGCTTGGTCTCCTCTGTTGAAAAATTTTTACATATTAAATTTAAACCACTGAAATCCAACCCGTATTTTCAACACTTAGGCTCACCCTCCCATGAATACAAAAGTAGATAATCATCCTGTATGTCACTTTGCACATTCCAATACTGTTTTCTTTGCTACTCCTCCCAGAGTATGCCACAAGAACTGTGGTCTGTTGCCTACACTGTTGAAACCAGTCACCAGGAAGATGCATTCTAAAAACAGGTAGAAAGAAACTTGTTTAAAGATGTGGTTCTGTGAGACTTCTCCTCACATTGGTTCAGAAAATGGAAACCTGGAGAGTTCCTGCTTTGAAATACCAACAGTACTGAAGTTCAAACTGCAATCAAATTCTGCTTTTGGCTCTGGCACTAAAAATGAAGAAAGCCACTTAAATCAGAAGAAAATGACGGCCCTGCTACTAGCACTGAGTATTTTTACAATTCTGAACTTTCATTTCATTTCAGTGTACTTCAAATTCATTGTTTAAACAGGAAGGCTTGCCCTTCTCTCTGTGCATCAAAGCTTTTCTTTATACATATATATATGTGTGTGTCTGTGCATATTCACACATTCACTCTGTCGATATATATAGATATAAAATGAGCTTTCAGATACTTAAAAAAAGACAAGATTACATAAACTTTTAATTTTTTTCTGCACAAAATCTAGCATGGTTTTATACTGTACTTCTGTGGTAAGAAGTGACAGCTACATATTTGCTAATACCAATTATTTTAGGACTGCTAAAATAAAGCAGTATGCAAATACACCTGTTTTAACAGTAGAGTTTCACAATTCCCTTATGTAATTGATATTTTTGTTACCACATTATGCAACCATTCAGAAGATGCACATCAGCCAGTTTTAGCACAGACGTATTTTCTCCTTTCTCTGCATTACAGGAACTTACTGGTACTTTCTTCTCTTTTTCTAAAACCCGTTATACAAACAATTTACATTATGCACCTGCTCTAAACCAGATAGTCATTTTTTAATTCCATACTCATCTGTTGTAGATCATATCCTCATTCTGGTTTGTACACAAGCTGAATTACAACATGGTATTTTCACACTCTCAGAATAGTTTAAAGAGAGAAAGACAACTCAAATTTCTTAAACAAGCTAAAGAACGATCAGCTTAATAGAAAATCTGAAAAAAACTTACCACTAAAATGAAGCTGTGAACAAGTGCAAAGAGAATGAATGATGTTGATGACGAGACCATGAGTGGAAGCTCTGAGAGAAAGGGGACCAGTGGCCACCAATAAAGTAACTACATGAAAGAGGTAGGGGAGATGTGCTGCCACATCCAGAGAATTGTTAAAGGAGAGCATCAGCATGTAACGTGCTAGAATAGCAATATCATCCCACATCAGGTGCTGTTCCAGTGTAGGAGTTGGAGACAGACAAGTCTTGTCAATTATTTTACACATCCTTCCAATCACCTGAAAAGAGAGCAACCATTTTGTTTTACTCAAATGAAGAGCACAGCTCAAAGTTTCATTAAAAACCATTACAATTTAACATTGGAATTATTCTATGGCGTGGAACCTATTTTATCATGTTTTTTGCATTATTGCCCGTACCGAGTTATCAGAAAGCATCTCAGTGTCATATTATTATATAAGTTGAAATTATTATATAAAAGGAACTTAAGGCAAAGAAGGAACTCACTTTGCTTGAAACCAGTTTTACATTTCCAGAAGCAAGCGCTACAGCTGTGTCTGCCATAACCTCAGCTTTTATAGACCCTAAGCCCCCTGTGGCACTCGTTTTGATGAAACTGTCCAGCACTACATCAAGGAGATCTGTTATCTGTTAGACGAAAAAAAAATTCTTTTTTATCAGTCAGATTAACTTTATTTTTCCACAGTAAACCACCTTTTAAATAAGCAATCATTCATTTTTTTTAGTTGAAGATGCATAACTACCATAAATTGAAGCATCAGTTTTACTAATTCGTTATCCTTTTGGAAAAAAGTCTAATGTAAATATTAGAAGTATAAAGATTAATTCCATCAGGCTTTACTCCAGATCAAAGTGCTTCAGAACTGTGGAGAAACTATAATTTAGTTTGTATTATTTTTATTTCTTTTTCCATTTTAAAGTATAACTATTCATAAAATGCTGAACCTAGTAAGAAGAAACTAGATTTGAAGTGGGGGGAAAAAACATACTTCCAAGAAAATAAGCAAGATCTCGTCTGTCAAAGATTTTGCTTAGAGCACTAGCCATGCATGAATACAGCTACAAGTAAAACAAGTTTCTTCTCACGTTAAAAAAAAAAAAAAAAGACATTTCATATATGCAGGCAAGAATAAAATCTGTCCAAGTGTACAGAGAACTCTTAAATATAACATGCAGGCTAAGATTAATGTTATTTCAGTATTGGTTCAAATTCAGCTCTCATTATATTATGAAAATTGGCTGAAATTCTGGGTCAACTAAGTCAATGATAAAATTTCCACTGACTGCTGTGGAATATTTAATCTTTTTATTTTGTGTTCTCCATATTTACCTGTTAACAGACTTTCATACGGCACATAACAGTCATATTGCTCTCAATGTGATTTAAGCTTTCAAAATACATTGTTTTAGGTTTTGGTTTTTTTGCCAATTGGACCAAGCAAGAAAATGCACTCATGCATCCATCTGACAGTTCTCCCACATTCTCCAAGAGCAGCTTTGTGATGCTGGGCTGCATCAGTTTGGATGACAGTTAAAAAAAATAAAAATAGTATGACAATGAGGAAGTTGATACAAAGCTTGTGAGCAAGCCTGGTCACGGCAAGTAAAGCTGGTCTCGTTTGTCTAGACACCTCCTTCATGAATGGCATATATGACGTCAGCTTTATTGTTTTCATCTTCTTCACTTTGCGGGGAGGATGAGGACAGAATTTGGCTAAGTGTTAAGCTCATGATCAACAGGAGGATTGATATTCTATTGATTGTAATCAAAATGCATCTGTTTCAAAAGTGCAAACAGAAAAAAAAAAGCAGCATTCTTTCAATGCCACGTGCCTAACACACCTCTGAATGCTCGTACTTTGTTCTTTCCATTCAGTACCCGTACATTCAGGGGTTTTGATGAATTAATTTCTACTAATTGAAATAATTACTACTAATACCAAAGACACTTATTTTTCAATTCACAGTGGGGCCAGGAACACATTCCTAGAAGCCAGAGTTCATTAGTGATTTTATGAAGTATTTTATAGAATGGAAACTTCAGAAGAACTTGCACACTACTCTCCATACAGCTAATGAACTTAGGTCATGTCGAGATCCATTTTATTTTTCTGCATTAACATTTAAGTGGTTAAAAACTCTATAATCTGCTTATAAACAAATTGCAATAAATTATGCAGATTTGTACCTGTCCAAGACTTCCCCATATCTTAGCTTGAATGGAAGGATACATCTGTTTTTCATTTATTGTCATTGTTATAAGCTTATCAAGAATAGCAGTGACTCGCTGGCGCTTAGCATCATCATTGTGTTTACAGAATCGGACCAGATTGGACAGCCAGGGAGTCATATACTCCAGACAAAGATGTTTCAGTTCAATACCTGAAATAAAAATTCACCTTGTAACACAGAATCAGCACTGGTCTCTATTTATAATAATTATTTGTGAACACTTTTCCTTTCAGTTTTATTGTTGAAAATAATTACTATCAGAGCTGAGCAAATAATACTGGGCAAACAGACAAGCTTCAAAAAGAAACATACTCTAATAATGACATCCAAGAAACATCTGTAGGAATCTGGCAAGGAGATGTTGACATTTTAATATCTTATTAAGAGATGTGACATAAAGACGTGTACATTCAGTATTAGGCGGGACTACTTAAGACAATTGCTTTTTCATCTTGAGAATCTATTTATTCTCAACAGCTTCCAACAGTAAAGTCAGAGCTGTATTATGCCTGGAAAAAAAGCATGACAAAAGTAGTGCAACAGAACCAGTTTTACAATTGAGAGATATAATCAATCTGAAAAGATTAATTTTGATATGACTGAAGAACCCTGTAACTCTTCTGTGTATGTATATTCTAGAGTTCAAACCTTCACTATCATGGACTCAAATTTTGATTTTTGTTCTGCAATATTCTCTACTTCTAGTGAAGTAGATAGAAATCTATCCAAAGTACTCACTGTACAAAACTATCAACAGTGATATGAAACAAATAATTTGTGTTGTGATCTCTCTGAATGAACGTAATCATCTAAATGAATGAGATGTTAAAACAAGTTTTACTAGACATTAATTTCAAAGTTTAAAAAGGCAGTTGCCTTTTTTTTTTTTAAATCTACTTCATGAGAAAGGAAAGGGCACATTCAAATGTGAAAAGTAATGTTTTTGCTCCAACAGATGCCATTCCAGTTTGTGAAACTGCCTGGTTTCAGAGTATTGCATAACTTGATTGTTAAGAAACAGAGATAAATGGATCATCTTGAAAACAGCTGAAACAGCTCTAAGAAGCATTTGCAATTTAAACTTATTATGACTTAGCAAGATGAGGAAGCTTAATTGACTAAGCTAGACAGTTACCAACTTAAATCTGTTCAAATTCATGGTTAGCATTAAGGAATACTAGTGTTACTTACTAGATTTGCTAAATCCAGAAATACACTCTTCCAAGAACTCTAAGGTAAGGTGTGGTTCGTTAGCTGCAAGAGTCTTACTAATAGATACAATAAATAGTGTGTTGTTGGCAGGAATACACAGACCTGAAGTTTCCAGTAACTGGCCCTCAATCTTTAAATTAAAGGTACAGGTTAAGGCACATAGAAGATTATAGGCAGCAGACCTGTAACAAAGCAAGCAACGTGACTTGTAATAGTTTTCTTGTACATTTTAAAATATACACATTACACCAAGGCATCACAGTAGTAGTACTGACATTTTAAAAATTAAATCAATACTGCTATAGAAGAGATTACATTTAAATCCTGAACTTTCTCCTTGCACCAGTTAAGATTCAGACAACAATATTTGCCTTGGAGAAATGAAAGAAATTACTCCTCCACTTGCTTTAAACAATTTCGGATGAGGTTAGAGAGTATGCTTGAAGGACTTTGTACCGGATTTCTCAGAAAGGCCTTTGGTGCCAGGAAATTCTAAATATTTCCAGGTGCACCTGAGCTGCTGGGAGAGAGACTGCCAAGGGCCCCAGAGGTTGCCATTGAGCCAGTACTGACAAGACCCAAGAGCCTGCTCTAAGAGGTACAGCTCCCACGTTATTAAACAGGAAGTTCAACACCATGAAAATCAAATGTATCTAATAAACATATATTGCAAAGCATAAGTATTTCTCTTTATAAAGAGAAATTAAGCTTCCTATATGCCTTCAGTTACCCTGACAGTATGTATGCCTTTCTTCACCTATAGAAAACCCAATCTTTCTTTATATTAAAAAGTACATTTTATTGAGTAGTGGTGAAACAAAAATTGTTTTGTTCAAGAGAGATTTGTTAACACTAAGAAAACCTTGGAAAGAATTCACATTTTTGACCAAAGTTGATATTAATTTAAGAGATCTGTACCGCAAACTGGGGTCCGAGCTTCCCAGGTTGAGCAGTGCTATGTTCAGTAGTGTTCCAGGGACATCCTTAGGACGAATTTTAGTATGCTGTGGGATGGAGTCTGGTTGTGACAGCTCCCACCGTGTCCGTATATGAATGATGGACCTAACGATGGCTTCACACTCCTGATGCATGAAGGTGAGTGGTGTGCCTTGATTGGCAATGGTTAAGGTAAACTGGTTCTCATCAACAAGACATATTTCCTCAATTTCAGAGGCATAGTATATATCATTTAAAAACACTGTTTGTCCCAGGACTCTTGTTCGTTCCGCTGACGTCACCTGCACAGCTGTCGACCCAACCTTAGAAAGAGAACAGAAAAATGGTTCAGTGCCTATTGTTAACAATACAGAGAGAGAAAAGTCTGACACTTCTAATTTTATAAATGTATGAAATTTTATACTTCCTAAAGAGGCATATTAATAAGTTGTGATTTCTCCTCAAGACAGGAGAGGAGAATTAAGAGACAGTAACATCATATTCAAAACCTTACAAAAATACAACAATTCACTAGGAACAGCATTAAAAGGACTTACTTTAATAGAAACTTTGGTGTCTTTATGAGCCAGTTTGAGAGCATTGTGAAACACTTTCAAGTCCTCCTCCAAAGCCAAGGTAGCTGCTGGGAGTTTCTGCTGGTCATGTTCGATGTGCTCTGCCAGTTTCCCTGGAGAGTCTATGAAAATAAGCCTTTTGCTTCCTTTCAAACCTGTCAAGAGCCTTTCATGGTATTTGGTGTATTCTCTGACCCACGAGTTACAGTTATAAATAAAAACTGCTGAGACATTTTCATAAGCAAAGCCCGGAAAAACTACAAACCATTTAGAAAGAAAGTCTGTTTTAAAGCGATTACTGGGGCCAGCGTGTGTGAGGTCCACTACAATTTCATATGGCTTTGCATAGTATGGCTTCAGAGTTAGCAGTACGTGGTATATCAATAAATCTCCGTTGATCTGACCGGTCTTGAATCTGTAAGAAAACAAGACAGACATTGTTGGGTTTGCTTTTTAGATCCACGCTACAAACATCTGAGTGGTCTATTACACATACTACTACTAAACTAAACCAGACCGATCTTTCACGTAGTTCTAAAAATACCATCAATCCAAAGCAATGACGCTGGACTGGCAGCTACAGCCTCAAGTTACTATTCTGTCATGGCTCAGACTCCAACCAAGTTTAGTGCCCAGTACGATGAAGCTTGACTTGCGATTTAACTCAACTTCATTTTGAAGTGCCATGCAACCTACCACAGCCAAGCAACCTCCAGACAGGCAGGAGGTTTATTCAGCTGAAAGGAAAAACAAAATCCATGCTGGAGAGCAACAGTGCATCAATTGGATCAAAACTGGATTACATGAAAAGAGCTCAGAGTTTCTTTAAAAATAAAAGTGTAACTGTCTCAAACTAACTCTTTAACCTCTCTAGAGATTCAAATTATATCTACTTTTATATGTGGAAAAATACATTTATTTCAGAAGTCATAATTAAGACTAATTAAGCATCCACATACCAACTTTTTCAAAGGGTCTCAAACTCATGTCATTTGCTATACACTGCAGCGTACTCTAACGCTTGGTGGGGTGTTTCTAAGAATGGTCAGTCCTCTGAGTAGTACAGATTTGTCTACAAAATAACTCTTTCCAGAAAAACACTCAGATAACATATAAATATTAAGAACCTTTTGTTCTCGTTTAATCATTCTCTGAATTTTATGAGACTGGACAGCGCAACTACCTAAACCAAGTCCCCAGAGTTAGCATAGCAGACAAAATTCTACTAGGAAGAATTAATTAAAAAAATTAAACTCAACAGTAGCTCGTGAACACCTAAGGTACTTTCAAATACCTATCAATGTTTCAAACTAGCATTAACTCAACTCATTCAAGGCAAGTCAACAGGCTACGGAAAGAGCTAATAAATACTGTAAGCACGTACATAGTTTTGAGTGTACTGGGACACTGCTTTTGATAACATTTGAGGTAAACTGCCTGAGAGTAGGATAACTGAGGAGATAAATTTCATGAACATAGAATATTTGTCTGCCGAAGATACTTTTTTTCCCCCCGTGTTACTTCCTGTTGTTCTGAGAGCTAATTTGGGCAAGTCGGTGTTTTTCCCCCTCTAACATGTCATGGTATAGTTGTTACAAAAAGGAAGTGTGTCATCTCTGTGGTTTTAGTTCTCCACTTAGAGTAAACGACGTATAATTTCAGTTACAGATTTGCTTAAAAAATACCAGCATTGTCTAAATCTACATGCTTTACGTTAATGGTCGTTTGCATCCTAAGAGTAAATATATGCACAAAGAAATTTTATTGTTAGAGGACTAAGTATCTGAAACACCTACATCTTGGCAAGGTAAGTACACATTTTCCTTCTCCTGTTCTAAGTTCCACTTCAAAGTTTATTAGATTTTGTAGAAAATTATATGCAAAAGTATTTTTAAAGAAGTTCAAATAACTCAAAAAGTCATCTGTAAAAATATTATCTCCAACTGAATTAAGGAAGCTGATATAACTGTATTTTTAGTAATGTTAAAGGTTATTCATAATCAGACTCCAAAGAATTAACAGTGACAGTTGCTACTCAGCTCTGTTGTTCCTACGCACTGCAGATCTTACTGTGTACTGATAGAAGACCCTATCAATACCTAGGCACAAAGGGTTGAACTAAAAAGAAAAAAAACAGCTCTTTAATGATCAGTTCCTTTGCTCTCATGATTTTAAGTGAAGCCCTTAACAACATCAGTTTGTTTATTTTTAAGAAAAGCACATCTGGTCCAGAACACTACAATTAACACTGGACTTACTGTATTCTTGGAGGGAGTAGGCAGAGAGTTGCAACTCTTGGACAGTAACATTAAATGTTGGAGTATATGTGTACCGGCAAATGCATCTCAGTTCTGCATGTCATGCAGAAACTTTGTGTGAAATGTTGTTTTGTTTCCAAAAAAAGGCTTTGCTGGTTTTGCTTTTTTCCTTTTTAAAGTATGCTACAAGGCATCCTCCAGGCAACTTTTACCATATAAAGGTAAAAATTCTACCTGAGCTGTAATTGATTACTAAGATGGTTTCTAGTTCAAACTTAACAATAAGGATTCATCTCATTGGAGTAAAATTTTATGTTATGGGTGAACTGCAAAGTAAAAGATACATATATCTTCAGCTGCTCCTTGGTCATGTAAGGAGTGACACCCATAGTTTATTCCCTGTTTACATACCAGGTATATCATTTCCTTCATTTTCCTGGAGGACTTCAGCAATACGAAGGACTGCCATTTGGATTTTGCAAGATAGGCAAGTTCACCCCTCTGATTTTTGGGAGTGAATATATTAAGTTCTTTGGTAGGCATGCTAACTTTTGACTATGATAAAAGTAAACATTGTCTGGAATATTTCAAAATTACCTAACTTTACAAACATACAGATACATTTTGCTACCTTTAAAGTAATAGCTTCAAGAACAAATGTATTTATAAAAATAGCACTGTTACTTTTGGTCATTCTCTACAGTATTTATGTTTGAACCACATGTTGTCTGTAACATTCAAAGGAAACATTTTGTTCTGTTAATAGAGACAGGTGAAAGAGAAACACTGGATTGGATAATAAGCATTAAAGTCTGAACTTGTCTCACATATACAAACTGGACGAAGCAACAGCAGTGAAGTGGTTCACTGCTTGTCTGATTTGTCACTATTATTTTGAGGTTATTATCTTAGTATCAGACTGACCTAAAGATCAATTTTCTGCCCTCCAGACAAATTCAACAGGTACAAATTTGAATACTACACAAATGTGAAACAGAACATACTAATGGTAATATCATTTGCATAATAATCTCAGGCGTTTTAAAGAAAATGTCACAATCTGTAGCATGTGTGAGAAAAATTTGTGAGAAGTTCATTTGTGATAAATAGCCTTTTGTACAATACAGCAGAAAAATTAGCAAACAAAAATTTTCCTAGGCATTTATGAAATACTCCAGATAGCTGTGCTAAGAAACATAAACAATTAAAACAAGCTACTGCTGTCACTTACAGAAACATTTTAAAGTTTTTCACTTGACCGTCTTTACAAGCATGGTTACATTTCCCACATTCAGGGGAATACAAGAAAGTAAGAAGTAGTAATCTGTAAACTTTACATGGGTTTCTCCTTTCACTGTGTAAAAGCAGAAGTGATGAACCTAAAGTTGTAATATGTCCGGCTTTGAAGAGGAGGAACTACCAAAGAGGAGGAACTACCACAGAGGTCTGCCTCTACATCACTGAGTAGTTAGTAGGAAACACTTTCCTTTCTCTCTTTGCTCCATGTTCTTTTTTAATCTTCATATTTTTTCTATAAACCTCAAACTGTCAGAAGTTCGAGACAACCTATTCTTTCAGAATTCCAAGTACTTGAACTCTTCCTCCTACATCCAGTAAAAATGAGGTCGTTACATTATTTTTTTCATCAAAAAGGCTGCTGCCTACTATTCCCTGAGAAGTCCAATTCAAACCTCTAAGAACTAGCATTTGCTAAACTAATACCATGATTTGTACTTTTGCAGGTGACTAAATAGGAAGATGAAGACAAAGAGACATAGCAAATCACACTTCGCCTTCCCTGTCGTGATAATCTTTTCTTTATGTTTGCAAACAAGCGCAAACCATACCGATTATCCTAGGGTTATAAATGAAACCTGGAATACTATCAGCCAAAACCTAAGTGGAAGCCAGAACATAACAGAAGCCAATACGAATTCTCCTCTAAGCATCAATTTCAACAGCAAAACGACTACTTTTGCAATGCAGACAAGTACCCTGCAATCCTTATCTTCAACAATGGCCCAAAATTCAACATCTTCCCCTGCCAGAAGTGCTGTTTCTGCCACTGGAGGACCTAGGAATACCAGCAAACCCAAGAGTACAATGACAAAAGAAACATGTGAAGACAATAAGTCTCTTATACTGATTTGCTTCATTATAATAGCAGTACTTGTGCTTATCTGCACCTTCTTATTTCTGTCGACAGTCGTAATAGCAAACAAAATGTCGTATCTCAAAAAAACTAGGCAAGGAAAACGTAGGCCCAGGAGCAATGGTGATATTCTGGCGACTAACAGTTTATGGCCAACTGCAGCAGGAACATGGCAGAGGATGCCTAAGGAGACAACTGGAACTGACTTGATAATGCAAGACTTAATATCAGGGAGAGATGCTGCGATCCAAAGGAAAATCGAAGATGAAACTACTGAGAAACTCACTAAGGAAACAGATAATGAACAGGAAAACAAAGATCCATCAAAGTCACACAAACCCATTTTAACAAATTTTGTAGTTGAGATTTAATTCATACTCAGGTAAAAACTCATCTTTTGCCTTTTTTACATCATTGATATAAGGCAGAAACTTAGCTTTCAAGTAGCAACATGAATTTTAACACAGGAAAGCTATATTCAGATTTTAGGGTTTTTCCTTTTATGATAGTGGGAATGCTGTAGCAACTTGTAGATCTAGAAGGGAATAGGATTGTGTTAAATAGCTTTCTATAAATAGTGTCAAGACCCGTTTTACTCCTTTGACCAGAAATCATGGTGATAGGAGCTGAACAGGATAAAACAAAAGGACAGAAGTTTGCCCTTTCTCAAAGATCATTAGGGGAAAAAAAAAGGAAAGGACTGTTATATACCATACCATAAGGTGCTACACAGGTATAACCAAGTTGCTTTTTTAAGAAAACCGTAATTCAGTCACAACTTTGATGCAATTACTGAATCAGGAACTAGTCCCTCTCAAAATGCCCTTTGAGGTTTTTCCATTAAGAACTTCTTAAACCAGCTTAATTGCTTTTGAACCAGCTTGAGATTTGAATCATATTTATTGTGTTTCAATCTTGCGTATGAATATATGAAGTTTGTATTATATGTTAGAATATGAGAACTGTTTCAATTTGTTATCTCAAATAAACTAGCAACACCAGCTT